GCCGGGGTTACCGATGTTGTCGGGGACTCCATTTTTATCTGCGAGGCCGTTGTTGGTGTCGACGACGCGGATGTTCTGGTCATCCCGAACTTGGTCAGCCATGACGGTAGGAGGTGATTTTGAGCTTTGGTCTTCGAGGTTTTGCAAGACGGGGAAGCTAGTTTCCCACAAACGGCGCCACTGATCTTACCTGATCAGACTTAGACCGTCACGACTGTCTCCGGGCAGAATTTGAGTGAGATGGGGGGGGGGGGGGTACCTGCAAGGTACTCCGATGCTAAAATGAGTGACAGAATGAGCGGGCAAAAAGTGTATGTATGCGTAAGAGATGAATACCTGACCCTCTAGGAACAAAGGGTATTTATAGCCCCCAGCGAGGGGCCAAGGTCCCCTCATTGGGCCGACCAGAATTGGCCCAATAAAGGAACTGCCAGGTTCTACGTGTGTAGTAGGGACCCGCACGTGGTCCCCTTCCTGGTGATGCTCTGCGAGAAATGAGGAGGGACGAAGACGCGGTCTTTCCGGAGTTTAGATGTCTTGGTAACGGTCAGAATCTGCCCTACGAGGAGGGTGCTCGAGCTGGAGTTCCCGTGGTCGGGGACACCATGTGTCGTGGGCAACGGCGGGCACGACTGCAGTCTGTGGTCGGGCGCGCTGGCGGGAATCCGCGGGCGCGCGTTCCTCGAGGAGCTGCTTGGATTGGGCCTTTGTTCTTGCTTTTGAGCCAGGGCGGGCCCAGTCCAGAACACTTTGTAATACTAGACCAGATATCTGCCAAAGTATAGGATTATTGAGCAGATTTATGGAGAAGCCTCAGGAATGTCATCTCATCACAGTGAAGAGGGTGTTGAGATACATAAATGGAACTATTGATCATGGTGTGCTGTTACCAAAGAAGTCGAAGAACAACACAGATGTCGAAGTTCATGGATACACTGACTCAGACTTCAGTGGAGATCAAGACGAAAGGAAGAGTACTGCAGACTATATTTTCATGATCGAGGGAGCTCCAATCTCCTGCAGTTCGAGGAAGCAAAGCATTATGGCTTTGTCATCATGCGAAGCAGAATATGTGGCTGCATCATATGCTGCATGCTAAGCAGCATGGATCAAAATGCTACTTGAAGTACTCAGAATAACAAAATCGAAGATGAAGTTGTTTGTTGATAACAAGTCAGCTATAAACCTTTCGAATCATCCAATGTGTCATGGTCAAATTAAGCACATTGAAATACGATATCATTTTCTGAGGGATCAAGTCAACAAAGGGAAGCTTGAAATAAAACATTGCAAGACAGAAGTGCAACTAGCTGACATATTCACCAAACTTCTGAAGAAAGTAAGGTTCGGAGAGTTAAAGAAAGACATTGGGATGAGAAGTCTTGATAACATGAATTAGGGGGTGTTAGTTAGTTAATTTTTGTTATGTATTTATTTGGGATTTTAGCATGTAATTGGGCCTGGGCGTGTTTGCCTATATAAGGGCGTTGTGTTTGTGCAGTAAAACAATATTAAATCAGTTAGATAGTTAGTTACACATAACTAACTCATCATTCTCTCTCTCTTCTTCTTCTTATTTTTGTTTTCACAAAATCATCTTTCTTGTATTCTTTATTCTAACAAAAATTAATGGTTTGATGTAGATGATTGTCATGTGAATAGTAAAGGGTGAGACTGCTCTAGAAAATTTGTTTCTCCAAATTATACTTTCTGCATACTTTTCCCCCATAAAATCATGTATATCTCCAAATATTTAGATATGAATTAAAAGATTAATAAGAAGGTGCAGTTTTTATTTAGATATGATTTAAAACGATGTTATTTTTATATTATTGGTATAATAGATTTATTTAATAGATATTGAGATGAGATACAGTGTAGAAAAAACAAATAGAAATGAAAAACTCTTAAAGTATGAATCTTAGGATTTTTTTAAAATGTTCTATATGGAAAAAAAATTATTATTGATCTAAATATTTTTTATCAAAAAACAGTATATGGGAAAAAATCTATTTTCAATCTAAATTTTTTTATATATGAAATTTACTATTGGTCCAAATATTTTTGTAAATGATACATAAACAAAAATAATTTTTGTATACGGAAAAAATATTTATTATTGATCTAAATATTTTTATATACGAAAAATGATATTTATAATTAAATATTTTTTATTCAATAAATAGTATACGGGAAAAATATATTATTTATCTAAATATATTTATATACGAAAATTTACTATTGATCCAAATATTTTTAATAACGATACGTAAACAAAAATAATATTTGTACACGGGAACATGAAGTTATTGATCAAAATATTGATTATTAACGGAAATGTGAATTTACTGATCAAAATATTTTTTTCATTAACTATACATTCAACTATTATTTTTTCACGGGTACCAGACACTTTTCTATTAAAAAATATACATTAGAAACAAAAGTGCGTCCCGTACCAGAACTCGTGCGAACGCACGGGTTTGTTACTAGTTTCATTAAAGAATCGAAAAGCCAATTACGGAGAGAACATCCTGAGTCTTGGGGACACACCCCAACTAAGTTTTAGAGCCTACTCTATGACCAAGGCCGGCCAAATAATGGCGGGCAACCTGATTATGAGACCTGTTCAAAAACATAACAATAACACCTTGAAAGTTTTTAGATAATGACAACAATCAAGAACAACAAATTCTAACACAACATTAACATAGACTCGGTTTATGCAGTACACGACTGATATTGCATAAGATTGTTTCAGAACCATATCCATCTTCAAGTCCAAATCCATTTGCATAGCCCATCTTATAACCAGAGCTACTGCCATTGCAGGACCAATCTCCTTAACCTCTTTTTTGGTGGCTGACATAATAGTATCTTTGTATTGTATCATCAGCACACATCCCTTAACAATGGTGTCATCATCATCCACTTGAAGTACTTTGAAGCTTTTTAGTTTTGGATCCACATCGCCTGTCCCCATAGGTTTCTTTGTTACTCTCAGGTCCGAATTTGATGAGTTAAATTCCTGGACCCAGTCCACACCACTTTCCGCCACTAACTAGGAACAAAAGCTTCCTTAATGAAGAGAGCTTTATTTCTAGCAGTCCAAATACTCTACGGTGTGATACAAACTAAGTGAGTGTCATAAGGGTCACTAGCATTCAACCACTTGTCCAACCAATGATCAACGTCAGTTGAGGAAGGAATGTGTAAGCCAAGGGGGGAGAAAACCCTACTAGCTTAGAAATATTGTAAAGCATGAAGATGCGTGTTTACTTGTATTTTTAGTAAACAATCACGAATTTGGTTCATTTAAGAGATTAAATTCAAAAAAATCTCAAAGACAATTCATGCATAAAAGTAAAAAGAAAAGTGTTTGTGATTGAGATTTAAAGGTTTGAATAATGACAAAAAGGACCTAAATTTGAATTAAAATAAACTTTGGATGAAGATAATAAACAAAAAAACTTTATATAAAACATTAAAATAAATGCTTAAATTACAAAATACTTAAAGAAAATAAGAAAGAGGATGCTCACTCATACATTTTCTCATAAACGGTTTTTATGTGACTTAGATACTTTAGTTATATAGAGAATACTTGATGAATTTTACGACTCTTGATTCCAACAGTGAGATTGACTTATATACAAATACAATATTAATAGTCGACAACATTTATCTCTATAGAACTTGACATGTATCCCCCTACATGGGCTTCAATCTTCTGATTTGCTTCCACGTGTATTTAGTGCTTAAACTGTTGCAAACCAACTATCATTCTGATAAGTGCCTCTGAAAAATCCCTAATTGCCTCTTTCAAGAGTTTCTGACTTACTTCCATAGGGTTGTCAAGACATCCTTGGTGTGACTAACTCTTAGACTAAAAATATGTTAAGTCCTCAACATATGATCAATCGTCGAATTCGACACTTTGTCGAAGGTTTGATCTCTGTAAACCTTTTCGAGATTTTGTGCATGTTTTAAAGAGAGAATGATCCTAATCTTATGGATTTATTCCTGAGACTCTTCTAAACTAAGCCTTCCACGTTAGTCGAACTCTCTTGGTCAACTTGACAAATGTGTCGAAGATTGAGTCTTTTCATACTTAGTAATTTTTCAACATGGTTGCTATCATTCTTTGTGGAATCCTATAGTTAGAATTTACAGGCTAACAATGTGTTTGATTGTTTCAGCACTGGTGTGGCACAGAGGCACTCAGGTATGGTCTTGATCCCTTTCTGTAACAGGTTCGCTCTTGCGAAGAGAATGTTATATCCCAATCTCCACGTGAAGTTCTTGATTCTTATATGATTGGGGGCTTCCCAAAGCTTTTTCCATATCTTCATTTGATTATGGCTCAAAGGACTAGGTATATGAGCATTCCTCTTACTTCCAAGTAAGTGATAAGTTGTTTTAACCGAATAATCCCCATCTTTTTCATAATTATAGATTAATTTATCATCGGGTTGGCTCCAGAAAAGTGGGATACTTGTGATTCGGGCGCCAACATTGTGATTAAAACAAGCTTTTATGAGATTCTGCTTCCAGCAACAAAGGTCCTCATTAATGAGCTTACTCATTACTGTGTGTCTTTTTCAATTCCCCGAGCAGGATCATGGATCTTTAAACCAACAGCATTAGAGAGCCAATTATCTTGCCAGACTTTCACTTTGAGACCATTACCAATCCTTCATCTCGAGCCTTCCTCCAATAGTTCCTTGGAGCCTAATATACTTCTACAAGCATAACTAGGAGAGAATCCTGATATTGCTTCTCTAATGGTGGTCCTTGGGTAGAACTTCTTTTTAACACCCTTTCCAACAAATAGGATCCTCATGTTAAGAGCCTCAATAAATGTTTCCTAAGCAGACTGAAGTTAAAATCTCAATTCCCATAAAACCCATACCTATGATGCCTTTTGCCTTAGCCAACTTGGTCCAACTCATCTAGTGAATTTTCTTGATGTCTTTGGAGGAGCCCCACAAAAATCTGGCCTAGAGAGATTCAATCTCGTTGCAGCACCCTTCAGGAAACCTGAAGCAACTCATGACATACGTGGGTATGGCTTGAGCAACTAATTTTATGAAGACTTCTTTACCAGCCCGAGAAAGAAACTTTTCCTTCCATCCTTTCATTTTCTTCCAGACACGATCAATCACTTGGGTAAAAATAGCCTTCTTGGATCTACCTAAAATTTTCGGTAAATTTTGTTCTGAATCGTTTCTATAGCTTCTTCTTCCACATTTTGACTAAGGCAAATTTTGTTCTTCTCCTTGACGGAGTCCCTCTTTAGGAGATAATTCTTTACTTGGTTGACCATTTATGAGAACTCGACAGGTGACGGTTTCCATGTATCTTTTGATCAATCTCCTATTTTCTCCAGAAATCCCATCGCCTCAAAAGTTCCATCAACAAAGCTCCACTCGATTCTATTGTAAGCTTTAGATATGTCTAGCTTAAAGGCCATCACACCTATCTTACCTTTTGTCTTCTACTTCATCTAGTGGAAGCACTCAAGGACAATTAGAGCATTATCTATTATGAGTCTCCCTTTAACCAATGCGCTTTATTCTTCATCAATGATGTTAGGTATGATATGATTGACTCTGTTGTCTATTGTTTTTGTTACCAGCTTCATGATCACATCGTTGAGGCTTATTGGTCATAAGTCCTTGGGGAAGCTATGGTTCTTTCCTTTCGAAATCAGGGCAATGAAAGTTTTGTTAATCACAGAGGGATCATGGTTATTATTGAGAATATCTAAAACCAAAGCTTTGACATCCTTCCCAAGAATATACCAATACTTTTGGTAAAAGAATGCAAGGATCTCATCTGGCCTAGGAGCCTTTAAGGGATGCATTTGATGAAGAGCTTATTCCACTTCATGATCCTTGTAAATGATGCGTATAAGTCCTTATGGTATGAACTCAGCTTCCCTTTAACAGCTTCACACGAAGTTCCTATATTAACTTTATAGGATGTAGCAAACAAATCAGATAAGTAATTTAAAAGGAGTATCTCACAATGACTTTCGCCCCTCCACCAAATACCATTGTCATCTTTTAGTTTATGTACTTGTTTGTTTTCTTCCTTTGTGTCGTTTTCCCTTGAAAGAACCTTGTGTTCTTATCTCCTTCTTTAAGCCACACTAATATACTATGTTGTCTCCATATAACTTCCTCAGTTTTAAGAAGATTGCTTTGTTGGTTTTCAAGAGCTTTGTATGACATGATCCCCTCACCTCTATGAGTCCATCTACCTTCATCCTTCACCTTCTCTTTGATACTTGATGATAGAAACAATGACAATAATTTACAGTTACCAGAATAATTAATTCACCACACCTCTAGTGGTCCCAGAGTTTGGAAAGTATATTCTAGAAGGGGTAAAAAGGGGAATTAGAGGATGAGTTAGTTACCAATCATGAGGTGGCATGAAGGAGGGGGCAGTACGTTTCCACAATATAAGGAGCAGTCAGTAGAGGGAATAATCATCTGGATTGTAGCTAGATCTAGAAGGAATGGATAGGATACTCTAGGATCCTATAGGAGCATAGCTCTGGGCCCATTGTGGGATTGATTCATTCTGCTCTCTGTACTTGTTTCCATACTAATCAATAAAGCTCTTTCTTCCCATATTTCCATAACTGTTTCTTTTACTGCTATATTGATTTACTATTCTGTTAGTTCGTAACAAACTGGTCCGACCTACCGGATTGTCATTCCCGAAACCAGTGAATGCCCCCGAAAAAGGTTAAGATGGATGCGAAGGTAGCGGCGTTAGAAGGAGAGATGTCGGAGGTGAAGTCGACGTTAATAGACGTTCAGAATGCGGTGAAGACTAGCCATGAGAGTCTCATGGCCATGTTTGAACGGTGTCTAGGGAAGACGGTGCTGGAAGGATAAGGTAGTGCAAATGGGAAGGGGAATTCCTCCGGATCGAGGCTTTACAACCTCAGTCGTGATGCATTGACAGAGTTTCGTCAATCCATCAAAAAGGTAGAGCTACCGTCCTTCAACGGCGAAGATCCTGCGGGGTGGATTTCACGAGCTGAAATGTATTTTCGTGTTCAGGGTACGCTACCGGAGTTGAAAGTGAATCTAGCTCAGTTATGTATGAAGGGAGCTACGATTCATTTCTTCAGTTCTCTGGTCGGCGAAGATGAAGACTTGTCGTGGGAGAAGTTGAAGGAATCACTGTTGGCCAGATATGGTGGTTACGGCGACGGTGACGTGTATGAACAATTAACAGGGCTTAAACAGAGTGGAACGGTGGAAGAATATATCACCGAATTTGAATATCTCATGGCTTAGATTCCGAAATTGCCCGACAAGCAATTTTTGGGATATTTTCTTCATGGGTTGAAGGCGGAGATTAGAGGACGAGTTCGCAGCTTCGTAGCCATGGGGGAAATGAGTCGTACAAGGTTGTTACAGGTGACGCGTGCAGTAGAGAAAGAGGTCGATGGAGAAAATGGGTCGTCTAGTAGGAGAGGGTCCAGGTTTGGAAGCGGGTCACACCGACCCGGAACTCATGGAGCGGGCCGAAGAAATTCAGATTGGGTTTTAGTGAAAAATAGAGAAGGTGGAGTGAATGGGGGTTCTAAAAGCAATCCTATTGGGCCTAGAGATGAAAGAGCAGCCCATGGAGATAAGAGAAGGAATGGGTCTCGTGAACGTGGGTTTCAACATTTATCCTATCAGGAATTGATGGATAGAAAACAGAAGGGGCTTTGCTTCAAATGTAAAGGGCCTTTCTCTCCTACACATCAATGCCCCGATAAACACCTTCGGATCCTTCTTGTCGATGACAGTGATACGGAGGAGATATAGGGCCAAGTTCTGGCAATCAAAGTGAATGAGGCGGACGACGAAGAGGAGGGAGAGATAAGCCTGATGCATTTGGATCAGATGACTAATCACACTCCCCAAGTTATACGTTTCCAAGGAGAGATCAAAGGAGTTCCGGTGCTTGTGTTGGTATATAGCGGGGCGACGCATAACTTCATTTCTCAGAAGTTGGTAAGCAAGATGGATTGGCCCATGGAGAAGACTTCACAGATGAGAATCAAGTTGGGTGATGGTTTTCAAACCATGACTCAAGGAGTTTGCAGAGAGGTGCAATTGAAGATCGGGAATTTTGGAATTCAAGCAGATGTGCATCTGTTTGAGTTAGGGGGAATTGATGTTGTGTTGGGAATAGAGTGGTTGAACACACTTGGGGATATGATTATGAATTGGAAGAAACAACTCATGAGCTTTTGGAGTAATAAGGAGTGGGTTACATTACAAGGCTTAGGGAGCAGCGATGAGTCCATGGTGGCTCTACAGAGTATATTAGAAAAGCCCAAGCAGTGGAGAGAAAAGAAGTTAGGGAGTATAGAGAAACAGGGGAGTGGAGCACTAGAGGACCATTTGTCCCAACTGCAGAAGGAGAGGCTAGGTCAGTTATTACACGATTTTGCGTCGGTGTTCGTAGAGCCTAAGGGACTACCTCCAATCAGAGGCAAGGAACATGTTATTAATTTAGTGGAAGGGACAAATCCGGTGAATGTAAGGCCCTATAGATATCCTCACCATCATAAAGATGAAATTGAGAAGAAAATCAAAGAGATGTTGGCTACCGGAATAATCAGGAACAGCACAAGATCTTTCTCTAGTCCGGTAATATTGGTGAAGAAGAAGGACAGTTCGTGGCGTATGTGCATAGATTATAGAGCACTAAACAGGGTAACCATTCCTGATAAATTTCCAATACCTGTTATAGAAGAGTTGTTAGATGAGTTGCATGGTGCTAGATTTTTTTCTAAATTGGATTTAAAATCTGGTTATCATCAAGTAAGGGTCAAGGAAGAAGATGTATACAAGACAACATTTCGTACTCATGAGGGACACTATGAATTCCTCGTCATGCCATTTGGCCTTATGAATGCACCTTCCACATTCCAAAGCCTCATGAATGAAGTGTTTAAACCCATGCTTAGAAAATATGTGTTGGTTTTCTTCGATGACATCTTAGTATACAACACTGATTGGGAGTCCCATTTGCAGCACTTGCAAATGGTGTTACAAGTGCTAGATGACAATGGGTTAGTAGCCAACAAGAAGAAGTGTCTCTTTGTTCAGAAATCCATTGACTATTTGGGGCATGTCATATCCCAAGAGGGAGTAGCTGTGGATCCTAATAAGATAGTCAGTGTGACCCAATGGCCTACACCTAAGAATGTAAAGGGAGTTAGAGGCTTCTTAGGACTGACTGGATATTACCGGAAATTTATCAAACACTATGGCAGGATAGCTAAGCCGTTAACAGAGTTGTCAAAGAAAGATGGGTTTAAATGGGGAAATGAAACTCAGAGAGCTTTTGAAGAGTTGAAGGTGAAGCTCACTACAACACATGTCCCGGCTCTACCTGATTTTTGTAAACCATTCATAATTGAATGTGATGCTTCCGGTAGTGGTATAGGGGCAATTCTAATGCAGGATAAACGACCGATAGCTTACTTTAGTAAGGCGTTGGGAGTAAGAAATCTGTCTAAGTTTGCATATGAGAAAGAACTTATGGCATTGGGGTTGGCTATACAGCACTGGAGACCCTACCTCCTTGGCAGGAAATTCATTGTCTCTACCGACCAAAAGAGCCTGAAGCAACTGTTGCAGCAGAGAATATCTACTGCAGAACAGCAAAACTGGGCTGCAAAGCTACTTGGTTATGATTTTGAGGTTGTCTATAAGCAAGGCAAACTAAATAGAGGAGCTGATGCCTTGTCTAGAATGCATGAGGGAATGAAGTTGAGGAGTATCACGTCTTTTCTGCAGTGGGATCAGACACAATTAATGAAGGAGGAGGTGCAGAATGACGAGGAATTGCAGAAAATAATAGCTGAACTGTCACAAGATCCGGTTTCCAAACCTGGATATACCTACAAACATGGAGTCTTAATGTATGATGGTAGACTAGTCCTTTCAAGACATTCAGCCATGATTCCTATGTTATTGAAAGAGTTCCATAGCACCCCACAAGGAGGGCATTCGGGGTTCTACAAGACATATAGAAGGTTGGCAGCAAATGTATATTGGGTGGGAATGAAGGGAGTAGTGCAGGAATTTGTAAGAAGCTGTGATGTTTGCCAAAGACAAAAATATTTAGCTTCTTCTCCGGGAGGTTTGTTGCAACCCCTACCCATACCGGAACGCATTTGGGAAGATATTTCTATGGATTTCATCACCGGCCTGCCAAAATCCAAAGGGTATGAAGCTATTTTTGTAGTTGTGGACAGGTTGTCTAAATATTGTCACTTTATTCCTCTTAAGCATCCATATACGACTAGAAGTTTGGCTGAGATTTTTAGCAAAGAAGTAGTCCGGTTGCATGGGATACCTACGTCTATAGTGAGTGATAGAGATCCCGTCTTCATGAGCAATTTTTGGAGGGAATTGTTTAAGGCCCAAGGAACTCAACTCAAGATGAGCTCGTCCTATCACCCAGAGTCCGATGGCCAGACAGAAGTAGTTAACCGGTGTTTAGAGACGTACCTTAGATGCTTCATCTCTGATGAGCCCAAGAATTGGATGTCATGGTTACATTGGGCTGAATATTGGTTCAATACTTCATTTCATACTACTACAGAGCACACCC